TCAAGGAATAGAGGCCTTTGTTCAAATAGTGTTTGTAAATAGGATATCACGTCTGCATCTTGTACAACAAATAACCACTAGGAAGGCAGTATGCAATTTGTTAATTATTTGGAACTGTCCTACCAATTCAATTTGAAACTGTCTCATAACTATTTCTCAATAAAATTATGCAAAAAAGTGCTGCTTTTTATTTATTGAAAGGCATTCTAGGGACTGGGGAGAAGGCTCAGTAGAGTAAGCGCTTGCCTGGCAAGTGTAAGAGTCTGAGTTCAATCCCCGGTTCTGCCAAAAAAAAAAAAATTTAAAAAAAGGCATTCTAGTGCGGTGTATGTATAATACCACGTAAAGCATATTTAACATTTCTCACATTTTGTAGTTGATCTGTAAGTTCAGATCCTTTTAAGAGTTAGCATGATGTAACATCACATTAGATTTTATTTATTTATTTTTTAGACTTTACTTTTGAACGCCTTAAGTCAGACTGAGCTACTATTCAAGGTAGTATTTAAATAGCTACTTAAAAACCCAAGACTGAACTTCTATTATGTGTGTAGTTGGTAGTGGCACTTCCTGTCAGCTCATTAGAAGGGTTAAAGCGAGGAAGGGACAACATGAGCACAAATTTGTATGATACCCTAATACTTCATTAAAAATAAATCAGATTAAAAAAATAAATAAAAATGAAAAGGACAAAACTTTGATAAGTTTCAACAGAATAAGAGACAAGAGAGACTGGAGACTTAAAAACAATAAAATAATATTTTAAATATCTGTATGATAATATATTTGAGACTTTAGATGACATTTGCAGAACAATATGTTAAAATTAGTGTAAGAAGAAAAATACTTGACTAGAAATGCTAATGCCATACCTATTTTTCCTGCACAAAAGGCTCTATAACCAAAGAAATTTATAGATAAGTTTTACTAAACCATCAAAAAACAAAATTTAAATCTTATACAAGTTACAAGAAACATTAAAAGATAGAGAATTTCCTTACTCATTTTAGGAAGTCAATTAAACGATATTCTGAAAGTGATGAAAAAAGGAATTTTAAAACCACTTCAGGGGGGCCTGCCCTGTAGCTCAGTTCTTTAAGTGGCTGCTTCAACAAAGCCATCAGGCTCAGGTTGCTGGGGTTCGATCCCCACAACTCAAGCCAGCCAAACCTGCCCTGAAGGCATTTGGAGCAAATTAATAATAATAATAATAATAATAATAATAATAATAATAACAGCAACCATAGGAATCTCAAGGGATTATGCTAATAAAAACCTTGATTTTATAGAT